CAAAGACACCAATCACACCCACACAAAGACACCAATCACACCCACACAAAGACACCAATCACACCCACACAAAGACACCAATCACACCCACACAAAGACACCAATCACACCCACACAAAGACACCAATCACACCCACACAAAGACACCAATCACACCCACACAAAGACACCAATCACACCCACACAGAGACACCCACCTTCAGGACAGATATGCCCCGTGTGACACGAATCATTCCCACCCGTAAACGTGCTGACACCTTTACACGGCAGCCCGTAGCCCGAGGCGGGCGGGTTGCTACAGGTTCTGTAACCATTAGAAAAACGTGTTCACAATAAACATTATCTACGGGATAAATACTTGACTCTATGCCATACGTCATTAAAAAAAATGGAAATTTAACCTGGCCTTTAATTAAACTAGCTGCATACCCGTGCTCCGCCACGGTGTATCTTTCTTACATGTACCAACTTGGGAACAAAACGAAACAAAACACAAACGCAAACACAACGATATATTATAATGTAATGTCCACTAGAAATGCTTGTCAGTTGACTTTTAACGTTTATACGTCTTTTGTGATCGTCTAAAGCATAACACCAATGTTCATTTATTATTTACAAACAATTTTACTAATTTATATCATTATCTTTTCGCGTTCGTCCCATGAAACACACGGTGCAGATGAAGTTGAGTTCATCTGTTTCAGTAGTCTTGGCATATGAAGGGATAGTGTGATCAGCACTATTCGCAGCTGCCTTTACTTTCCCTAGGTACCAGGACTAGGTCGCTGTACTGACTTGAACTCGGATTCGAACTAGAGACAGTGGGCACTGTTAAAAGTATACATTTTCTATATCAATTCCATTTCATTTCTTCCCGGGGGGGGGGGGGGGGAGGTAGACTTTCTCCCCCCCCCCCCCCCCCTCCCTCAAAGAGATGCCTGGAACACTGTTTGAGATAGCAGTCTAGCATCGTACCCAGTGTTTCTTCCAGACTTTTTTCTTCGGGGGGGGGGGGGGGGCACTTGAAATTTTCGGGGGTGGGGGGTGGGGGGCGGTAGACTTTCTTCGGGGGGGGGATAGACACTGTTAAAAGTATACATTTTCTATATAAATTATGTAAATTTCATTTCGTTCGGGGGGGGGGGGCGGTAGAATTTTTTCGGTGGGCATTCCCCCCCCCCCCCCGAAGAGATGCCTGGAAGAAACTCTGGTCACGCCGCCGTCCTATGATGGAAGAAAATCTCCCAAGCACGAACACACTTTGGCAGAGCCAGACTGTTTATACACACACCGACCACTAGAGATATGCTGCATGTTAACGATAAGAACTACCTGACTTTGTGTCTTCTGGCCATCCCACAGACTCCCGGACACAACCACTCGCTCCAGGGCCCCCAATTCCCATGATCTGGAATGGAAATTACTCAATTAACATGGGTTCGCTTTACTTAGACTGAAATAGATTCACACTGTAATGTTAATGTCATCAAGAGAAAACATGACGATCTTTCACACAGCAGGCAATCGCTTACTCGTCTTGGGAAATGCAAGGTCCTCATCGATTAAGCCATCACCATCATCATCTATTGTCACATTAAATATAATATATATATATATATATATATATATATATATATATATATATATATATATATATATATATATATGCAAATATATATATACATATATGTATGTATGTATGTATGTATATTTTTATGTATGTATATATATATATATATATATATATATATATATATATATATATATATATATTTATATATATATAATATATATATATATATATATAAATGTATGTATGTGTATGTATGTGTTTATTCTCGTTAGTGTGTATGTATGTGTTCAGTTGCACCTGTGTGTATGTGTTATATATATATATATATATATATATATATATATATATATATATATATATATATATATATATATATGCAAATATATATATATACATATATGTATGTATGTATGTATGTATGTATATTTTTATGTATGTATATATATATATATATATATATATATATATATATATATATATATATATATATATATATATATATATATGTATATATATATATATATATATATATATATATATATATATATATATATATATATATATATATATATATATTTATATATATATATATATATATATATATATATATATATATAAATGTATGTATGTGTATGTATGTGTTTATTCTCGTTAGTGTGTATGTATGTGTTCAGTTGCACCTGTGTGTATGTGTTTATCTGTAAAAAAAATGGTGTCTATCACGTCGTCCTAACCTATTCCGTTTTTTTGTGTGTATGTGTGCGTGTGTTCTCGTTAGTGTGTATGTACTTGTGTATGTATGTGTGTGCGTGTGTGCATGAATGTGTCCATGTACGTCGTCCTAACCTATTCCGTTCGGCGCCTCTTCATCCACTCGCTGGTCCCTGTCGTTGTCAAACATATCCCCGGCTGTCATTTCAGGCAAGACACCAGACACGTTCTATGGGGAACATCATTGGTACATTAACTTTCAATTGATTTCAATGTAGTTATTTTAACTTTAAATTAATTTCAATGTAGCATCATAAACTTTCAATTAATTTCAATATAATTATATTAACTTTCAATTAATGTTAATGTACCTTCATAAACTTTCAATCAATTTCAATGCAGTTACATTGTCTTTCTAATAATTTCAATGTATTTACGTTAACTTTCTATTAATTTCAATATTGTTAACATCAAATTTCTATGACTTTCCGTGTAATTGCAATATCTTTAAATCAATTTAAAATTTAATAGTGTACCTCCCATGAAATGTGGGCTTACAATTCAGAAATGTATATTAAAATATAAACATCCTTATATAAACACATCTCTTGGTAATTGCGAATAACATATTGTATTAGTTACATATTTGAAATAGGGCTTGATAGTAGGTCACTGACTTCTCGTTCTTGTACTTGCCAGCTTATATTTTTAAAGCCAAAATAAACACTGCTTTAAATTGTGATATTATAAATAAAAATGTACAGTTTGTTATTATTTATTCGAATCCGTAACATGTTGTCCTAAATATAGTTACAATATTAATATAATATTAATAGCCTAGGTCTACCGATACTTAATTAGTTTCTATTATTAGCACTCTTGGTACATCAAAAATTTGAAGTGAGGCCCTGAAACAAATAGCTGACATGTTTTTTTATCAATGGGAATCATGCTCAAAACAGTTACTTTAGTTCGAAAATGTATCTCTCACCCTGGTTAACGAGAGTTCAAATTTTAAGGGAGAGAGACCAAGACTTACACACGCTTCTAAGAGCATTTTGACAGTTTTCAGTTAATCGAACTATCTTCAATTAACTTACTTTTGCTAGTAATTTGCCAAGCTTTTATGTAAAGTAAATTTACAAACAAGTTATGTTCACTGTTTCATTAATCCTTTAAGTAATTAACGTTGTGTTTTTAATTAGGATTTTTTATTCGCTTCATCTCCGTATGTAAGCCTCAGTCCAGGGGTGGGGGTGGGGATGTGCCTAGGGAATTTGTGATCTATTTGAAAATACATTCAATCAACAATGTTTTTTTTTTGTATTAAGCACGTTAGCTTAATCTGCTTCAACAGGTGTATACATATTTAAGGAATGAGCTCTTTAATATCGTTTTACTAATCAATTATTTGAATATAATAAAAGCGAATAGAATTCGGAATTGATGGTCAAGATTACAGGTGAAGTAGACTTGCGTTTAACCTGCTGAGGGACCAAGACATATAAAATATGGTGTGGTCATTATGAATAACAGCCTATCTTCCTACTGTTCTATAAAGTACATAATAAATAGAGACGGCTGTATATCCAAAAATTAAGCTATGTTCTTACTGTTCACTAAATTACTCACATTATAAATGAATCCAACATAGCTATCTTCCTACTGTTCTATAAACTACACAATAAATAGAGACGGCTATATATCCAAAATTAAGCTATGTACCTACTGTTCATTAAATTACTCACACTATAAATGAATCCAACATAGCTATCTTCCTACTGTTCTATAAACTACACAATAAATAGAGACGGCTATATATCCAAAATTAAGCTATGTACCTACTGTTCACTAAATTACTCACACTATAAATGAATCCAACATAGTTATCTTCCTACTGTTCTATAAACTACACAATAAATAGAGACAGCTATATATCCAAAATTAAGCAATGTCCTTACTGTTCAATAAATTACTCACACTATAAATGAATCCAACTGTTAAAATAACTACACAATAAATAGAGACGGCTTTATATCCAACATTAGCCATGTACCTACTGTTCAAAAGCTGCTCACCCCGTAAATAGTGGCGACAATGAATCCAACATTAGCAGCGTACGCTTCCTTGAAAACATTACCAATACGATCTCCAGTCCCGTAAATGTAGCAGCCGAAGGGCGCGCCTTCTGTGGTGTAAGCCTCATGGAGTCCTGGCGTTATGTTCAAGTAAACAAATCTCCAGCTGGTTGTATCTGCTACCGCCCTCCAACTTGCACTGACGACACACAATTGTTAGTTTGTTATGTATCCAAAACCTTAGTGTTTTGAAAACAGAATTTTCTATTTAATGATCTAGTCTAGGGGTCTCCAAACTACGGATGCGGCCCGCGATGTCCTCTCATCCGGCCCGCGGATATCTTTTTGTCCACGGAAAAAACGTTTGTTGCTGATGGCTGAGGAGCCTTGCCCAGAAAAATGAAAGACATACCTGGAATAAACTGGCCCCCGAACTGAAATTTGATAGTTAATGCAGCCCTCGGACTGAAAAGTTTGGAGAACCCTGATCTAGTTTACTGCGAGGGCAAAAAAAAAATCTTAATGTCTTGTATAAAAGTAAAGTAAAGTTTCCCTTTCAAACCTTACGGTCTATGGGGCAAGTGAAGTAGAGTTCACTTGTTTCTGTGACCTCGGCATATGAAGAGATAGTGTGGTCAGCACTATGCCCAGCCGCCTTTACTATCCCTAACATGAGTTAGGTACCCATCAGAGTTGGGTGGACTCAGGGACGGTCTACTAACGAACCCGGATTCGAACTCGAGACTAACGGGTTAGCAGTCCAGCTCTCTACCGCTAGACCACTCCGTCCCATAAACTGCCTGCGAATTTCGGAAAAAGGAAAACATTTCTTAACAGCTCGTATAACTTTTTCTAATTTTTGTAAATACCGTACAATAGTTTTTCTTACTTTGAAATAGTTGTTTCGTCAAAAATCAAATTAGATTTATCTTTTTCCTGAACCATCAAAACAACCCGATGTTTTCTGATGTTGTTGTATGCGTACGTACTGAAATTCATAAAGTAAACATTGCGTTAGCAAACAACGGAATTTTTTTAGCCTCCTTGTATTATGATATATATTTTAAATCAGACCGCAGTATAAAAACAATGGTTAGTAATTTGTAGGATATGATTTACAGATAGCATTACATTGATTGAATGAAAAACAATTACTTTGTGTAATTAAAATAAAATTAAAGTACGTTATTAAGAATAGTTCAATTGCTTTTCGCTTACGGAAGACTAGGCAATGTTGAAATATAAACTTAATTTAAACTAATGTGTAAAACTTAGTGAAGTTCCTTTTTCAGAACGGACAATCCACAGGACGAAATAAAGTTCACATGGTTCTAGAGCTCGGCGTATGAAGGGATGGTGTGGCCATAACCACATCCAGCCGCCTTAACCTTCTGTAACGTAGATCAGGGACCCATCAGTCCTTCAGACTCACGCCAGTACCGAGATTCGAACTCAGGACTTCTAAGTTAGTAGTCGATCACTTTTCCACCCGACCACAGCGACCCATTTGTTAGGCATGACTATGGTTTCTGCCCCCCCCCCCCCCCCGAAGTGTCTGAAAGAAAAACTTTGGGCCACAGATTTAGTGCGTCCATTTCTTATGAATAGGTCAGAGGTCAAGGAGGCGAGATATAGAATATATATATATATATATATATATATATATATATATATATATATATATATATATATATATATATATATAATATAAGCGGGCTGTGTCTGTCCTTCCTTCCTTCCTTCCTTCCGTCCGTCCGTCATCGCTATAGATTTTGGGACTATAAAAGTAAACTACGCACCATGCTGTGCTTTTCAGTGCACCGCAGTGTCTTATTTTAAGTATTAGAGTAGGGTTTGTTTATATAGCGGCATGGAGCTATTTTATAATTTCCACTGTTTGTACAATTTTGCATAAAGTAAAGAGAATATTAAATACACGCACATTGCTAAAACATATTAAAAGGATCAATGTCAAATATTGTTTTCGTTAATATTCCCAGAAAAAGTGGATACATTTTTATAACATAATAACAGTACGGTAGAAAAATCAAATTAATTTAACTCTTTTCTAATTTTGACAAAGGAGGTAATTTAAAAATACATTAAACTCACGCTAATAAAAAATGTGAATGCAAATATACGTTCGTCATAGAAGGAATTAGTGTTGCAATAATATAATTAGCAAAATGTGAATTCAAATTATTCGGATGTGTAAGAGGAAATTATTGGTAGAAAATTATAATTAGCATGGATTGATAAAAGGCAATCTTTTATTTATTTTATTCACTGAATGTAGGCCCTACTGTTTATTACTTATAATTTTTAATCAACTATTCAGCACTATTATAGGCGCGTCATCACGTTCATTAGGTGCGCAATGTTATGAAACTCAATTGTAAATTTTTAAAATTTAAAGTACTGGAAAAAAAATGCGTGAATGGATAAAGTGAAATATTGTAGGTAAAACACAGATATTTTAAATACTGCCTATTATTTATACTGTTTTCTAATTATTATTCTGTGGGTTTGCGGACAAGCTAGGGGTTTTATAGGAGAGGCGTTGCGATGGGGGGGGGGGCATATGTCCCCGGGTGCCGACCTTAGGGGGCGCCAAAGTGGGTTGGAAAAAATTTGCGAGGGGGGGGTCGAAATCGAAAGTTTTAGGGCGGGGGGGGGGGGAAATGGGTGCAAATCGAAAGTTTGAGGGGGGTGCAAATCACTGGAAAGGGCGCGATTTGGCGCTACGGGCTAGACTGTGAGCAATATGCCTTTATGATTTCTTTTAAATTGTGTTTATGTTATGAGTGTTGTGTTTGTTTTTTCGTTTTATTTTTTTTTTGCGTTCGTTTATGTTGTGCTTAGTTTTGTTCTGTTCCCAAGTTGGTACATTTAAAAAAGATTTACCGTGGCGGAGCACGGGATGCAGCTAGTATATATATAAACGAAATTATCTGAAATTGAAATAGATTGTATGAGTAGACTTAGATCTAGAATCTGCTAATTAAATTAAATTTTTAAAAGTTTATACAAGCATGTAGTTGATATTATTGTAGTAGAAGGCTTTAATAAATTACTAACGCCTACCTCCTTTGAGTCTTTTTACAGTAATATCTAACTGATACTGGACTGAGTTTAATTAAATTCAAATGCATATCTAGTAATTAGTCTACTAAGTTTATGTAGCCTAGTAGTAGAATCTAGATCATACCAGCCAACAACACATGTAGACCTGCAATTGTGTCAATTGTAGACTGGGTCCATTGTTATTATTCTAAACCATCTCACTTATAATGTTTCTAGCTTGATTTGTTTCTTTTATAAAAAGTGGATTTAAAAAAAATTAGCCTAATCATTAACCAAATAATAATAATGTGGTTATTTGGTGTTGGCTGGTATGATCTAGATTGTACTACTAGGCTACAAAAAACTTAGTAGACCAATTACTAGATATGAGTTTGAATTTAATTAAACTCAGTCCAGTATCAGATAGGCCTACATATTGCTGTAAAAAGACAACAAAGTAGGTAGGCCTTAGTAATTTATTAAAGCCTTCTACTACAATAATATCAACTACATGCTTGTATAAAGTTTTTACAATTTAATTTAAGTAGCAGATTCTAGATCTAAGTCTAGTCATACAATCTATTTCAATTTCAGAAAATTTCGTTTGCTAAAAAAATGATTAGATTATAGAGCGAGATTTTAGATCTTAGAGACAATTAAATGCTTTATTAGGCCTATTATGACTACTTTTGATTTATTATGGGTGTATTTTGAATCGAATGTAGATCTAAATTTTGTAATTAAATTTAAGTAAAGAAGTAGATTCTAGATTCTATGTCTACCCAGCGGAGCCAGTCACCCTAAATCCAGAATCTAGATCTGTGGTCCGAATTTTGTTTACGCCATGTTTAGAGCTAGATTCTAGATCTAGATATTAAAACACTATTATTAGGCATACTATTAGATCTTATTATTCTTATTATTACTTTTGACTTTGTCTTTTACTATTAGTATTTGTGAAGGTCGAGCATATTTGTTTTATTAATAGTTATCTTTTATAATTAAAATGAAGTTTATTATTTTACTGTCCTTACCTGAAACAAAGTATCGAGAACTGCATTTGATCAGATTGGTCTACTTAAACTCTAAACGCAGACAGTATTACTAACAGTATTTTTATTTAGAAATTTTGGCCACATATTTATATTATCTACGAAACTGTCAATAACAGTATAAGGATCTTCAATTCCTAAGAGTTCAAGTTTTTTAACGTATTTTTCCTTTTCCGCGGGTCGGTTCTTTACATACATTGAACGCGGCCAGCGCTGGTGAACAGCTGATTGTGTTTACGTCTGGTGTACACCACCGTGGCGGCGGACGTAGGTATCACGAACGGACGTGACGTCATATGAAAGGACTCTATAGACAGCGTTAGACAGGAGTTGATCAGTAGAGTGTTAGAGGTTAGTCGTGTTTAGGAAGCCGTTAGATATTGTTAGTAGTATTGTTAGGAGATAGTTGAGTTGGACTGAAGATTAGTTAGATAAGAGTAGGAGATCAATTTATGTGTAAAGAAAGAACATTATAGTTTACCTTGAATTGGACCTTTTGTGCTTGTTTATATCACTAAACTGTGCCAGGCTACATTTTAAAGGGGTGTAGGACAAAAGGCCGACATGCAAATGGCCGACATGGTTTGTCGGCCATTTGGTCTGTCGGCCTTTGGGCTATCTGCCTTTTGGCTGTCGGCCTTATGTCTTATCGACCTTATGTCCATGTCGGCCTTTTGTCCGTGTCGGCCTTTTGGCCATGGAGGCCTTTTGTCCGGATCCCATTTTAAAGAAGACGATAACATGGTACTATCCCCGGAATGGATATGTATCACAGTATTCATTACGGTATACAATACATACATATATGTCTCCCGAAAACACTCTCCTCACAGCTACTAAAGGTATAATAAAATGTAGTGCTCCTCCATGTAGTACGTTGGAGTCTTGGATAAGGGTTAATACCTCCAGGAATAATGGTTTACAAACAATCCAATAGGTACGACGGTCGATACTTCAAAAAAATAGTTCTCAAACTCTTGGTCGATCATGTTCCAGAACACGACAGAGCAGAGGACTGGTTTGCTCGTGTTCAGGATTGCGACGACAGCATTTTCCTCTATCTGATGCTGAAATATTTTTTAAAGCAATTATCTGTCATGTAGATAAGCAAGAGGTTGCTATAATAGTTAAATGAACTGGGTGCATCGTTAAAAATTATAAATACAAATATTATACACTTAGCATCTTTTATGGGTTTTTTCTATATGCAATGGGTTTGTTGAATTGAAGAGAATTTTTTTTTAATCTTAAGAGAAGGTTTTCTTTTTTTAGTTTAGACTTCATTTGTGATATTTTATCATGAGTGGTAGTTCATCATTAGTTTGTGGTATTTTTTATTATGAGTGGTAGTTTATCATTTTATTTGTGGTATTTTATCATGAGTTGGTAGTAATGTGTCATTAGTTTGTGGTATTTTATTATGAGTTGGTAGTAATATATCATTATTTTGTGGTATTCTTTCATACGTTGAGATGTGTTATCGTGAGCTGTGAGTATTTTATCCTGAGCTATGAGTATTTTATTGTATTATATGAGTATTTTATCGTGAGCTATAATTATTTTTTTTCGTGAGCTATGAGTATTTTATCGTGAGCTATGAGTATTTTACTATAACCTATGAATATTTTATCGAAAACAATGAGTATTTTATCGTGAGCTATTAGTATTTTATCCATAGAGTGGAAACATCCACAAAAGAAAAGCACATCCACAGAGTGAATGTAATTGTGTTGGACTTGGCAGTGGCGTAGCAAGGGGGGGGGGGACGGGACGTGCGGACCGCACCGGGTGACACCATTTAGGAGGGTGACACCAAGGCAAAATAATTATCATTAAAAAGTTTTTAAAAACCCTCGTTTTCTGATTGAACTAAAAAGTAGAAAATAAATGCTATACATCACAATAATGCAAGCGCTCACTCTACTATAAGCGATCGCAAACTGCGTGCGCATTATGACAAAAAATGAAAAACGTGGGGCGCCGAAGTAAAAGTTTTTTTATAGGTCATTGTTAATATAAGATGAAAAAGTTATATTACTATTGATTAGATAATACTATTGAGTTTTATTAGGGAGCTTGCAGAGAGTCAACAGTATTAAAAACTGTAAGAAAAACACGGCGCTGTTTTTCATTTTTTGTCATAATGCGCACGCAGTTTGCGATCGCATATAGTAGAGTGATCGCTTGCATTATTGTGATTTATAGCATTTATTTGCTACTGTTTACTTCAATCAGAAAACGTGGGTTTTTAAAACTTTTTTAATGATAATTATTTTCTACTTTTTAGTCTTTGTCTGTTTGTTTGCATTCAAATCTTACTATCGATTTTATCTTCTCGCATTCCCTTTTTTTGGGTAAACGAAGACAACTCGTAAAAAACACGTGCCTTTTCCAATCGACGTTTCTTTTGTGTTGCCGTTTCTTTCACCATTTTGCCCTCGCGTGCAAACCATTCGAGCATCAACATTCTACTTCTGGATCAGTCAGTTTTGCATAGGTTTGTACACGAACACTGCGTGACCACTACTCAGCCAATCGCGTGCACGCCAGAAGAGGGAAAGTACCGAACCTTTTTTTATTAAATTACAATTACTAGGTTATGTCCCTTTTTTGTACAAATCAATAGGGGTCTAAAACGATCAATACAATTTTTCCATGGATCAATTTAGTAATAATAATAATTGAATATTGTATTGTCATCGGAAACAAAGCTTCCCTGAAAATTTCAGCGTGCTAGCTAACTGGGAAGTGCCCGAAATTTCGATCGCAAGATTTGATTGGAAAAACAAGCAAACAGACGCGAAAGCAAGTTAAAGAAAACGTGGGAAAATAGCAAAATATATAAAGAAAAATTATAATTTCACTGTTAATTCGAGTGTTAAATAGTCTTTTAAGAGGTGCAAATTAAAAGTTTGAGGACGGGGAGGGTGGGGGGGGGCTGCAAATTGAAAGTTTGAGGAGTGGGGGTGCAAAATGGTAAATTGAAAGTTTGTCCCCGGGAAGAGTTGCTACGCCTCTGAGGGGTGACACCATTAAGTGCCGCACCGAGTGACACCCGACAGTAGCCATTATTTTCCCAACCAGCATTCAAGTTTTTGTTTTTAAAATCCCATTACTGTCATCTCAACTTTTACCAATCTCTCTTACACATTTCAACACTGCACTAAAAATATAAATATTTTGGACCGAACATATACAAACCTCAATAAAATCCCCAATCTCTTTCAGATCAAAATTTAAAACTTGTGAGGAGTGCTTCAGGACAGCCACTGTGTTACGCTCGACCGCACTAAATCTAATGTATACTTCTCGTTTACCCGGAGAGACGATCAAATAATCACGACCTATACATTCCACGGGCAATATTACGTCTGTAAGTCACAATCAATTAAAAAAATTATATAAATACATGTAGAAATGTAAATGTATATGCGAATGCAAATATATATATATATATATATATATATATATATATATATATATATATATATATATATATATATATATATATATATATATATATATTTGCATTCGCATATACATTATATATATATATATAATTATATATAATACAATTAAGAAATAAACAGGGATTGATCTCCCTTAAACCTTCTCGAATAGTCTTATATTATAAAACAGGGGATGGCAACTCGACATAATTTTAATCCACTTTAAATACTTAAACTTTGTATATGTGTGTGTGTCTATAAAGACGATAACTTGAGTACCGTTACAGCTTGGGTTATGAAATTTCATATGTAAGTATTTTATCAAAATCGTTGATCCGTATCGACTTTTGCGCGATTTCCGATAACCGGAAGTGGTACTTTTTTACTTTGAGTTTTTCAAAAGCCAATAACTTAAGTACTATTTCACATAGATAAATAAAAATTTCACATGTAAGTAAAAGATCTAATTCTCTACCTTCTATTAAATTTTTAGTAATTTCCGTTGACCAGAATTAGTAATTTACGCTATTTCCAATTTTCAAAAAATTGAATGTAAATTTATAAAGTACTAACAATATTGCGCACTATTATGCACATTTTGTTTTGGCGTTCGCGTGGAGCGCAATTCTTTTTTTCTACTAGATTCTATTCTATTTTTAAAAGTTTAAGTAAACAAAAATCATGTCTACATTCCGAGTTGCCATCCCACCGTAGTCTTATATTAGAATGTTGCTATTTGTCAATTTCTTTAAGTATACACCTATTAGCACATGGCTGACTCTGGTTGTAGTTGTGTTGTAGTTATAGTTGTAATTGTACTTACCCAACGAGACTTTGTCTAGAGGTTCATCATCTTCTAAACATGTCCCGCTAATGATACCTATTGGCTTCTCGGCAGTAAACATACGCCTCCTAATAATATATATATATATATATATATATATATATATATATATATATATATATATATATATATATATTATATATATATATATATATATATATATATATATATTTATATATATATATAATTTATATATATATATATATATATATATTATATATAATTATATATATATATAAATATATATATATATATTTATATATATATATATATATATATATATAGTATTTATATATTTATGTATATATAAATATATATTATTTATATATATAT